TTTATTAAAAAAATAAATAAAAATTGAAATTCTCAAGATAGATCATTTTCAATTATAAAAACGCATGCTAACTAAATAATAGTAAATACCCAATCGCCTGTGACTGCGCTTGGGCCGCCTTTTGTTCTTTCCCCGTTTTTTACCTCTTCTCTCCTCTCTTCTTGATCTTCCCGAACGAGATTCTTTCCATACGTTTAATTCATCATCACTGTCATTTATATTATCGCGATCCCTTTTCACACGATTCGATATCTTTTTTATCAAATTCTGTTTTTCTGTTGTTAATGTTGCTCTTTCAATACGTAAATTAGTATCACTCGCATTATTTTCATTATTTTCTAGCTTCATAAATAATTTAAGAATTGTAGTATTATTCGTATCATAAATCGTATTGTATAATATATGTTGCCTTTTGAAATTTTTGAGTGAATTTAAATATGGAATTATGGTATTGTAAGTGTATAAATTTCCGTTAGTGGTATTACGAATTCCATCAAAAATTTCGGTTTTAGATATCGAGGATGCTCCTTCTAATAGACTTTTTATATCATTCAACTTTTTATTTTCAAGAAATCTTTCAGATCTTTGAATCCAAACTCGATTTAAACTTCGATTTAGCCTATCATACTTGGATGTTAATAATAATAAATTTATGTTTAAAGATTGCACCTAAAAATAATTAAAAAGATATGTTTATTTTTAATTTTAAATATTAACTATTAAAAAAAAATTTTTTTCTTATTAGTTTACTTGTATTTGCAAGGCACGCACTTCCTTCCTCAAATGGGACAACATAACAGCGAAAATAATCGCTAATAAGAGAAGAACGATACTGCAAAATCTTTGGAACATCTTTGACTTTTTTACCTTAGATACGGTTACTTTCATGTCAACATTCCATTCAATTAAGTTTGCCGCGTTTTTCAATGGATTATCGATTTGTAGATCGATGTCACCTTGAATATGATCCATTTTGATTTTCGTTGCCATCGATTTTTAAGATTATGTACATCGATCAATCGCAGAAAAACATATTATCGACTAGTTTAAATATATTACATATATTATATCACAAATGTCCTAAAACATACATTATTTAATTCTAACACTTTCAAAATTAACCAATATTGGTTTATAATATTCTTTCACAACGGTAATTGATTTCGATAAAGATAAAGATAAACAAAAACATAATTATCACTTTTTGATATTTGTAGATATATAAACGATAATTCACATTTTTATTCAATAATCACTTATTTATTCAATGAATAATTATAATACGATCGAATGCAAAAACTAGAAGATAATAACAAAAATAGAGGACAGCACGTGGATTTATTCACGCGGATTATATTATCAAAAGAATTTAATATTGATTAAACAATTTCCAAATAGAGTAATGTATAAGTTTTCAATTCGTCATCTTATCCAAGTTTGCTGACTAGTAGTCATGTCATGTACGCGTATCAGTGATAGAAACAAAGAAAAATAATTATATCTTCACATTCTTTTCATACATTTGTAATTTTAGGATTTCTAATTTCTAATTCTAATTTTAGGATAGTATTTTTTATTATTTTCTGAATAAAACAATCTTTGTTTGTCTTAATAAACGAATAAAAATAGATTCTAAAAAAATTGCAATATCAAATTTGATATAATCATCATAAAAATTCACTATTTATAGAAATTCTGATAATTAAACAAAATTATAAGAAAAAGGAACTAGAATGTGTGAATATATTATAATAAAATAATTTTTGCTTACCTGAGTAACATGTTTTTTGTCGATTCTCCATGGATTGCGAGAATCACAGATGAGATCAATCGATTTTCGAATCGATACACTTGCGTAGCGTCGTCGCTAAAAGGCTTACCCTTTGCGAACCTGATCGTGGACGACGCTGTTTCGTGGCATCTTTTGTTTACCTAGTCAACCTGCACTCAAAAGGGTCTCCGAACGTTACGACGACTCCACTCGACCGGTTTGGCGGCTGTTCGCCCGAGTGTTGCCAACATTTGCCTGGCAAGACACTATAGATATCTTCTTTACTTACTTTCTCTTTTTCTGTTTGATAAAAATAAGTAAAATCATATACTAATTTCATTTAATTTTTAGGATTATATCGTAACACGGATTGTTTATTATGGATTTTAATTAGATTCAAATTATTAAAGAAGTAACTATATTAAACTATATTGCAAATAAACAAGAATAATTTATATTTATATCATTGATAAGAAATTTTGATCCTTATGTACGATTTTATTTTTCTTTCTTATCCGTGTAAGTGTTACATCATCAGTGTTACAATATTCAGATAAAGTTAATATTCATAAAAAAATTATTTAATTTACATTATTTATAGAGTTCAAAAATATTTGAAGAACGGAATACGTTATACTGAATTTTAAATTGATGCCGGAACTCGTTTTCAAGGACTATGAATCCTGCTTTCACATAACAGTGACTTGAATACTTAATTTGAAAGTGGAGTTTCGATCGCCCTTTTGAGTGAGTCTCAATCATTGACCAAATTTTTTTTACATTATTAAACTTTCACAATCTTTCTATAATTGAGATTTTGTAAATTAAGATTTCTTATAAAATCTTTTTATTTTTTCGGAATTAAAAAATTTTGTATTTCGAAAAAAATTTTGAAACAATATCTTTTTTCTTAAATTTTGCTCCATTAAGAATGGATCGATATACATATTCTTTCGATTTTTTATTTTTAATAATATATCATTTCTATGTTTTCATTGTTGTTCGTCTATAATATATCTAAATCATAATGATTCGATAATAAATATGTATATATTATTTATAGCAATATACGCAGAAAATATATACGAGTGCAAAAATTATATATAATTTACTCAAAATTAATTTTCTTTACATTTTTAATTTAATCAATTAATAATTTCAATTTTCATTCAATTAAATGTGATGATATGTTATGATATTTTATTTTATTAAATATCATTGATTTTTTTAATATTTTGTTCAATTCAGTTTGCAGAAAGATTTGAAAAATTGATATTGATTCCAATTTCACGATCTGATTTATGCTTCACGAATAATTCCAAGGCATGAAAAATATAATATATCTGATATTCTAAATGATAATAACAATAGAATAATTCTAATGAGTAAAAACTATATTATAAAATTGAACAAGAGAAAAAAAAAATAAAGAAAGAATGTATGCACAATATACAAATGGTAATAAAATCAAACATTTTTTTTCTCCATTATATTTCGAGAATATTATATTAAACAGAAAATTCGTTGATTCAGATTGATACAATAATCAAATTACGTTATTTACGTTAATTAAATTTTAAAATTTCATATTATTTTCGTTGCATCTGATTCTTGCATTATCTTCGTTGTAGGGAATTTAAAGAGTAGCTTACTAACAACAATCTCGTTACACATGTGAGAAAACAGTTGACGTCATTATTACTTGTAATATATCATGTATATGATACCTCGTTAATACCGGAAGTAGAGGTCATTGATTCTTTAACAGTGAGTATAAAATAAATTACCTCCTATAATAAAATAAAATGATGATATGACGAGTAATTTTTTTTTTTTCTTTATTTTCATTTTTTATATTTTTAAAAATATTCTCTACAATTAAATTTTTCTTCAGTAAGTTAGATCTTGTGATCGGTACGTAAGAAAGTCATGGAAACAGCGAGTAGGCAGCTATTAAACGAGAAGAAAGGATAAATTAAATAATAGGCAGGCCACGAACGGTACGCTTCGATTCGTCAGTCGTAAATTAATCCAGATACCTCAAATTTTGTCATCTTCCTACACGGATCGACTCAATTGCACATTAGGAACATGCACATGTACATTCCGCGATGATTAATTAGGATCGCCGCTGGTGGAATTTCTGATAACATTATTATCAATAATGTAATATGAAACTGTCCCACTTTTTTGTTTTTCTAAATCATCATGAAATGTAACGAGATAATTTTTTTTTTTTTTTAAAGAGACACGAATATACTCAGTATTGTAATAATGTAATTCATTAATTCAGTCTGATTTAATAGATTTTTTATATCCATTATTTATTGCTATATTGGAACACTACTGGAATTGTTGATACTCTTCATTTAAATGAAAAATTGAGATCTGTATTTCTTGAATGAATTCTTTCATTTCATTCTCACGACATTGTTTCGCAGGATAAAGCGATTCTTAGAGCTATTGAGTATCGAATTCGATATTCCTAGGGCGACGAAAGAGGTCGGAATCGGAGATGCCTGGTTGGAAGAATAACGTCGGAGCTCGTTGACATTGGCGACGATAAAATTCCACGCTGAAGACTTTTTTCGTAGAATATGTGCGTCGCATAAAAAAAATATCGTTGTAAATTCAAGAGAAACATATCGCAGAAAATATTGATGATACATTAAAATATATATATATATCTATACATGAACACAGAAAATTCTTGATGGTACGTTTCCGGTTCGATCGATTGTTTTTTAATTTGATGATCGAAGATTAACATATTATAAATTGTTGTAACAAGAATATCCTTATTCTTGACAAGATTTTAAATAAATAATAATTATTGATAATTAGAATTAAATAATATTTGAGAATTATAATTAAATAATATTTAATAATTATATTTTTGATTTATAGTTATATAAATGGAAGAAATAAGAATAATACATGATATAATATTTTAATATGAAAAATGAGATTAGAGATGAAAGCTGCATCTCCATATTACTGATCTACGCCACTGAGATCTGAGAGGTATTGCTGCAATAAACTCAAATGCTTTCCGCTCCTTTTACCCAGTACGGTCGAGTCTGTCAAACACGATGGTCGTTCTTTCTTTATCTGTGTCTACTCTTCATGAGTAAACTTGAAATTTTTCCATTCCAGTGATGATCAAATCTATTAGAAAATCAACAACAACGATAAAGTAAATTATCATTTATTCTAAATTATTCCAGTATTGTTTTATATTTTATTATTATAAAAGATATTAAGCATAAAAAAAAAAAAAGAAAAAAAAAGAATGAACCAAGGAATCGAAAAGTGGTAAAGTTAAAGAACAATGAAATTATGAGGATCAATTAAATAGAAAAATAACATAAATTGTCGAAGAGATATTTCTTATAGGAAAGAAAAGGATAGGAAGAAAAACAAGGAACAAAAGAAGGAGACGAAAAGTTAGTGGGCGGAGATAAAGGACCAAAGGGACGTATCTTGATCACTTTCGCCTGTGGTTTTGTTCGCTGTTCTAATCGGAAGGGGAAAAAACCCGTTGGACAAGTTTTAAAGAGGGCTAGAACTGAAATATTCGAACCACTTAACATCGTAGATTATTATAAATTTGTAAAAACGTGAAATTAGGTGGTTTATATTGTTCGATTAAAAAATAAAAGTTAAAAAAAAAAAAAAGAAGAAGAAATATTGGAATTATTATCTCGATTTGATAAATGCTGGAATTCATGTTTAGAATTTAATCAATTTGTGACTTTTGCTGCGTTTGTTGCAATTAAAGTGAACAATAAGTTGAAACGGAAGAAAATATGAAAGTGTTATTTTAAAAAAATAATGCAAAGAAATGTGAGTTTAACGTATGTCAAAGATTCACGTGTAATGTGAATTGAGAAAAAATTGTATATATCGAAGAAAAATGGATGTCATTTCTCTCCTTGAATGAATATTATATTATAATAATATTTTTTGAATTGAAAAAAAGGATAAGAAAGAAAGAAAAGAAAAACACAATATTAATAAGTGTTTTATAAAGTGCAGTGTAATTTAAACATTTCTAAATATTTAATATATAAATATTGTTAGTTTTTTTTTTTTTTTGTCACAATGACTTCTATTTTCCCTGAAGAAGAGTCAAAAGTTGCAAGAATAAAGCAAAAATTAATGAATGATGTACACATAAAGGAGGAAACACGATCGTTTCTTAGCTTCTCCAGAGAGAACTTGAGTATCTCTCAATCTGACCTTGAACAAGGCTACAATAAACAACGTTTTCGACCGAAAAGAAATACGATTCTAAGTGTGACGGCACTCTTAATTGCATTTCTTTGCTTGGCTCTTGAATGTTGGGAGTTTCATTATTCTTTGATCAATGCACGAGAGATTGAAGATTTGAAACGAAGTGTGGACAGTTTGAAACATCGTATTTTGGAAGAAGATCTACTCGACGAAGTGAAAGCTTTTGAAGAACAGGTGATGCTTTTTTATTCACTAGTGAGTATGTAAATCAATCATCATGTCAAAATGTCTCTTTTATTCTTTTAAACTGAGAAATAAAAACATGATAATTTATGAATAATACAAAATTAAAATTCCATAAAACAATATACTATTTCTTTTTTTTTTCTTTTCTTTTCAAGGCTTAACAATTCTTAAAAACAAACGAAAATATTTTTAACATTTGTTAAATTCCAATACTAATATTGACTTTTTTTCTAACGAGTCTTCTATTCTAAAAAAAAAAAAAGGTTGGGTTATCAGTCTTGAATGAAGCTTAAGGTCATGGACAAATAGACATAATACACATAATACATAATACATGTGTTTACATGTAAACGAGCATAAAATAGTTCGAAGACCCTTATTTTTATAATATTTAATTAAAAATAATTTTATAAAAAATTTAATAACATAAATATATAATTCAATATTTAGAATTCGATTCTCGCGCAATTATTTACGTAACGCATCGCGTAATCATCATTTATAAAATTTGATGCATACAAATTGACTATGTGTATTGCGTGATGATTAAACAATCTAGTTATATACAATTTCCAACACGTTTCTATTACGTTAAGGATTATTGATTATCTTTTTTCTTCATTGCGTCTTCTTCAAGAAACTTATCTTATCTTTTTTTTTTTTGTAAATGTGTTGTAAATATTTACAAGCAAATTGGAAAGAAATAATAGCACATGGATGCTGACAATAATTTTTTTTTGTTTATAGTTATATACCGATGATGATAACGATGACGATGACGACGACGACGACGATGCAGAAGAAGTAAATATCAACAAGACAGATTATAATTCCAACTATGACGAGGATACATTTTCTTTGCAAGATTATACTCCGATATTTGGCGCCAGACCATCCGATTTTCCTGATTCCTCGTCGACGATTGCCCCAGTACCTTCTCCGCCGGATCCTCCTATTGCAGATAAAACGTTAATGAAATTAATACCAACAACACGCAAGATCGGGAGCAAACAAAGCGAAGAATCGAAAAAAAATCATGATAATTCGAATCGAGACCGCAGTCAGGATAAAAATAATTTGGAAGGGGAAATGGAGGATCAGAAGAATGATACTAAACGAAAACGAGATGTATTAGACGCTAGTGGTAACACGAAAGAATTGTCGTCGAATTGGAAAATAACCTTAAAACATAAACGATCGATTGATCAAAAGAATCATAATTCCAAGAGATTACTTGTTAATAGACATTTGCTTAAAAATCATACCAAAAGAACAATTGCTTCTGATTCCACTTCTCGAGAGATGCTAAAGGAAAAATCTGTCCAAGAGGAGCAAAATATGTTAGTTGTTAATATTTTGTATCATATATTATAATGATATTGAAAAAAAAAAAAAAAAATACCAGGATCTTTTAAATACTGTTGAGAGAACGTAAGAAAAAAGCATTGAGTATTTCCATTTCATTGTTTCTCGCAGGTCTGTTGTATCCAGTAGGCATCCTTCAAAGAAATATTATATTCATTCGTCTTTGGATACCACCGTGGCATCTTCTTCGATGCCTCGTGACGAGTCTAACGTACAAGTTGCGACGAACCGCATTAAAAAAGTTCCGCGCAAATTTCGAAAGAATACGACCCATTCTCGAAAAGTAATCGCGGTCCATTACGATGGAAATAAGAATGGATATTCAGAGAAAGATATTTATGCTGGAAATGGAAGAATTCGTCATGGAAATAGCATGTTTAAAGCATGGAAACCAAGCGATTGGGTGAATAATCTTGGCATGAATGAATATTTCAAAATGTCCAACGATGGGAGTGTTACCATTTATGAACCAGGATTATATCTAGTTTATGCGCAGATTCATTACAATGACGATCACGATGAAATTGGATTTCATCTTCAAGTGAACAATCAGCCTATTCTTCAGTGCATGGTAAGATAATAATAATGTTAATATTTGAAAAATAAATGATTTGATATCAAAATTATTGAAGAGCAAAAAAAGAAATTTGATAAATATATACAATAGAACATTATATATGTTTCTTAATTTTATTTCATTTAACGATATAAATAACTAACCTAACTAACCTAAAAAAAAAATTGAGATAGCAGTAGTTTTTCTGAGATCACATAAAGAAATACTATTCATTGGCCAAGTTTGCTTTCATTTTTTTTTTGTTATACAAAAAATGAATGAATATAGAATAAAATAGAAAATATATTATAAATAATGATAAAAAGAAACGATTATTATTAATGATTTTAGATCGACAATTCGGGCCATGCGCGCAACATTAGCCAAACTTGTTTCTCAGCTCAAGTGACACTTCTTAGAAAAGAAGATGTTTTAGTTTTCAAGGAGGCTAGCTCACCGAGATTCGCTATTTTCGATAAGGAGAACAGTTTTTTTGGATTAGTGAAACTTGGAGAACTGGGAAAGCATTTGAACTAATCTGTTACGTATTTATCTGGAACAAATTAAAAAAGAAACGAAGTGCTCCTCTTTTACTATCGTAAAAAGTAATTTATTAAACATTCAATGATGCAACAATAACATTAAAGTCGTCACTTTAATCGTTGTTGACTCGATAAAGATAGACGTTGGTCAATTTCATTAATTAAAGACCAATCGATTCTATTTTTATCCATAAATGCATATTACCATTGTAAATAAAATTCTTGCAGTTTATTAATATAAACACTTTTTTAAGCCATTTTTAAGAGAATCCAAAGAAAATGAGAGTGCAAATGGAAGTAAAGTTACACTAAAATCTCGATGAAAATAAATCTTGCGATTTAACACGTAATATACTTGTTTTAACATGTAATATCGCAGATTAATTTTTTTTCGCGGTATTTTCTGGCTCGTTGACTGTCAATTGGAATCAAGTCTCCAGGGCAATCCATCAGATCGACAATGAAGTTTGGTTTCAGCAGCTTTGTTGGAAAAACTGATGAAGCACGATCCTCGAAGATTAGATTCGAATCTATGTATTTATGTTGATATTGTTGTAGAGGTTGATAAATCGTAACAATTTCTGGACAGGTCATGTCTCTGTCTACATAAGCATGAAATTTATTTTCTTCCACTGGAACTCTCACCTAATAAAATTATTCTAAGCTAAGAAATTTAATTTATAAGAATTGAAATGTTAACGGATAATAAAAATCTAATAACTAAATTGATGAAAAAGAATTATAAAAATCCAATATCCTCTACCTCTGGTACAGCAATTTCGATCCAAGCTTTACCATATTCTCCTCGCACCAAGGCGGCAGGTAAATGTATTCTATCGGCGATCACTTTGAAAAGCAATGCTCTTTCGAAATAAGAACCAACTCGTAACATTCCCAATGGTATTACGCTGGTTTCTATGGTATCTTTAATCTCTTTCAAATGAATCTCTAATTGGTGATCCACGCATGTAATAAGAGGATCTGGTCCTGACATTTGTTGAGAAACAAATTTAGCTAACATCTGAGCACGGGAGACTACATAATTGATATTTATGAATCCTTTTGTTGTTTTTGATACTCTATATTGAAAAATAGTATGATGATTATGGAAATTGCACGAGTGAAAAAATTAGAATAATTTTCTTACACGTTTCTCGATTCATTAGCGATTAATTTGCATTTAAATAATTCTACATAATTATAGAGACAAGTATCACGCTGAAGAGTACCAAACTTGGTATCAAATGTTAACTTTGCTATTTCGGTCGACAAGAAAACGCCACGACTAATTGTTTCTTTCGATTCTAGAAAAGAATGATCTTATCATTTTTAATTAAAAGAAAAAAAAATACGTAAATAAATAATATTTTTCACCTTCCAAATTCAATTGATTACAATCTTCTGGTTCACTACAATTGACTACATAGATAGGTTCCAGAGGACAGAATTTGAATCGAAGGATATCGTCCAATATAGGAAATCTGATAAAAATTAAAAAAAAATTAAAAAATGAAAATATTTATAAAATCTAAGAATATCGTACGTGCAAACGTTTCTTCGAAGCACGTAAAATCCATCATGAGTGATGTCATGCAATGAAAGTCGTCCAGTAAAAGCGAACTTGATCGGCAGATGTGAATCAAATAAGGCTTCTATACACGTGTCCCAAGAAGGAACGATTCGCGCAGTGCTTCGGTTATTCAACATGCTACATCATTTATTATTTTCGTAAATAATATTATTGTTCGTGTATTATGTATTATTCGTCATAAAACAATTTTTTTTTTTTAAGCCTTACTAATTCAAGAATCTGGCCGAAACAAAAGCATTTGCCAGAACCGGATCTGCGCATAACAATTGAATCAATTGAGCAGCTGCGTCTCTTATTGGAATCGATTTGATGTCACATAATAGATTATATAATCTTTTGGGACCTTCGATCTTTAGAAATTCTTGTCTTCCCTTCTCCTCTAGACACATCATGGATAAAGCTTTACAGCAGGCAATTTTGAAATCATCCATCGATGTACAGGTTAACTATCAAATTAATCGAATTCGTTTTTCATTTGAAAATTTGTAATTTGATTGATGTTGGTAAAAATTTAGAAAATTAAAAAGAAAATATACTTCGAAAGATGCACACATAGCCTCAATGATATCCGTGTTAATAATAATATCTCTCAATACTTGATTTCTTGCTATTGAAATAAGGCAATCTACGGCATCAACTAAAATTTCAACTGGAACTTTTCCTATTGTTTTCATCAGCCACAACAAATAATTCTAAAGGTAATATTTTTAAGATATCTTTTGTTAAAGAATAATTGCTCGATGGATAATTAGACAAATCGTGTTACCTGTCCTTGAATACTTAAGAAATCTTCACAATTCTTTATATCACATTTCATTAATTGATTTAAAGCAAATAAAGCTGCTTGTCTAGCAGACCAGTTCAAATTGTCATTTTTCAGCACATCTGAAATGACATTGCAAATCATTACATGATTTTAAAAAGATCCATTCTATCTACCTAGAATGTTTTTCACGCAATTGCTTGTAGTTAAATCTTTAGCTGCTCGACTGTATAGAGTCATCATACCGATACCGTGACAACTGATTTCGTACATTTCTTGCACGTTACCAAATAACGTATGTAATAAATAATCGACGATACCATACATGTGCAGCATCTATCAAATAAGAAAAAAAATCTGTAATTTGTATTAAGTTAAATAACCATTGAAAATCATAACTTTTTATGGAAAAAAATTACAATAAAAATTGTATAAAAGAAGAATATTAATAATAGAAATATAAATAATTATTAAAATTCAATTAAATCTAATAAATTCATTAGATTATATGCATTACTTTTCTACCCCTAGATGTATGCGATAAACAAACAGCTATATCCAGAATTTGTTTGAAAAGTTTCGAATGTAACGTATCTTCTATATACTTTAATATCTGTTTGATACCACCAATATCATTGAATTGTTCGACTGTCGTGGGATTGTCACAGGCGAATCGAAGGATCCAAAGCGCATTCGTATGAAGATCTAACCACTCAATATTCTAAATTAATATATATAAATATATATCTTTATAAATAATATTAATAGAAAAATTCTTTTCTCATTGTAAGAATATTTTTTATCCAAAATTTTTACATCCAAAAATTTCAATAAAGCCTCAAGACCCTTAGTACGTCGAAAGTGTTCTTGCAACCGTTCATCCTGATTTCTGCGTACTAGATCAGTTATTACATCAAGTGCCAGCTTTTGGATTTCACCGTAAGGTGAATTAAAAAGCTCATAGACCTGTTCCAAATTAAAATCCTGAAAATTGCACATTATCTCAAATAGCAATCACAAATGTAGAAAAAATTTAACAAAATTATATCGTTTAACTTTTCATCCTAATGAACCTTAGTTTCAATGATTTTCTCTGCGCCTAAAGGATCTTGCAATAGATTATATATAATTTGTAATGTATTCTTCTTCACGTCAGGATCCGGTGAGTAAAGTTTTTCGAACAGAAAATCTACATCTGAACTTTGTTTTAATAATTGTGCTACTCCAAATATATCTTTAGTTATTTCTGCTAAAATTAACAATGAAAATTCGTGCAGGAAGATATCATTTTCATGGATCACAACTTTGATAAAATATGGAATATAATATTCGGATGATTCCAAGATGAAATTACGAACATTAGGAATAGCTATCATTTCGGCTAACAATTTTGCAGCAAATCTATATTTTATTACATAAATTTATATGTATATATATATATGAATAATTTTTATTAAAATATCAAAATAAACCTTCGAGTAAATAAATCCTCGTGTTTAATCAATGGAATTATATTATTCACAATTTCGAGATCGAATAAAACTTCTAAATTTTCCTGAGATTTACTGCCAAATTTTGACAAAGCTGCTGCAGCAGCTAACAAAATAGGTTTCTCTTCACATTGTAGTAATAATATCGCTGTTTCAAGATGTTTGACTTCTAAATAAAGAGGATCAAATTGATTTTTCGTTTGTTGTTCACGATCCACTCGTTCTTTACCCTTGGACACATATTTCTACACACAAATTTTCAATACTTATAAATATTTATAAAAAATTTATTTTAATTTATGTTACAGAAAAAGAAATACAAATATTTTTTATTATTTAAATCTTACTTTTGGTTCGTTTACACGTTTTGGTCCCATGTTTTTTTATCTTTCATTAAACATTAGAATATTATTTATGGTTATCATGATTTGTAAAATTATATAATAGACATTTTTAATATTTGGAGAATAAAATGTATGACATGAATGTTGCTACATTTTAACTTTAATTATTAAAAACTCGAACATTGCTTATATTTGAAAAAATTTTAGTCTAACTATATGCTTTGATATTTTTAAAAATAATATGCAATTAAATACTTTTTAATTTAAATGCGATCATAATTGTACATATTAATAACATTTCTCATAGAAAATAAAAATCTTATAGATTAAAACATATATAAATATATCTTCATACATATATATATATATATAT